CAGAGCCTGCAATTGCCTTGTCAAATCCGGCAGCAGCCGGGCCCGGTGCTGCTTGGTGATCTGCTAAGTGAAGATGATTAAGATGCTGGCCCGGTCCCTGCAAAGATGAAATGTTCCCAGTGGGAGTTGCAGCATTTGCTGAAGTAGCTCGGAGCGCCGCTAAGCCGTGTTTCCTTAAACCTGGCGTTCAGCGGTACTGGAGCGATTGGAAATTAAGCTTTACGCAGCGCTCTGCTAACCCTGGGAGCCAGCGGCCAGAAGGCCAAAAATGCGCTTCTACACACCTGATTGCAGAGCCTAACTCTATGCTGCTACCGCGTTCATCCCTCCTCTCATTTTTCTTTACACTTTTTTGCTCCGGTTAGCCATTCACCTTATGGTCGTGTTTCGTTTGCGCATTGTAAACTTACAATTAATGAGTTTTATGATTTAAAATAAGTCATTATACTTTTATTTTTTCCCCTTTCTTTGTCTCTTTCTAGTATGTGCTATGAGTTCATACTCAGATCCATTCAGGGAAATGTCTTTGCTTACCTTGGTGGGATAGTGTGTAGTAGACATGATGGATGTATCCATTATACAGTTGGATAGCTAAGTGCCTTTGATTACTTTATTGAAGCATTGAAATAATGGAGTCTACTGAGAAGGAGCTGACAGTGTTAGACTGCAAGACCTGGCCTATGCTTGAAATGTATTGCCCTCTTGTAATGTTTCTGGGTGTATTTGGGTGTCCATTTATTTATCCTTCATTTTCTTTTAATAGGACAGTTGGGATGCACCTACCAATGCCAGCAAATCTGTATATTCCTATATAAGGTTCATTAGGCCATGATGGTTGCTAGTACAGGCAACTTACAATATAGGACCTTTTGCTTCCGTTCTATGATTGTAGTGCTTTCCACCTGTTACTTCTTTCCCGTGTTTCTTCTTAAATACACCATCATTTTGGCTACTTGGAGATGGAAAATGAATTTGTTTTTTTCTCATCTGCAGGATACTTGCAAGGCAGTAACGGTTTGTATTGCTTGCCCAGAGAACCCTAGCCAACTGAAGGTGCCTTATGCTTTTCATGAGCATGAAACCTATACAATAAATGCCTTTTAGTAACTGTTGGAGCAAACTGCCAAAAGAAGAAAATGAATGTGCCGACAAGCACTTCCTTTATTGAGAGTGCGTTTCTGCGCTCCTGCTGGCTAGTGACGTGCAGTTTGGCAAAGTAGTGTAAATACTTCTAAGAAATGTTTATTGGCGAAGTAATTCTTCATAAATAAACCTGTTTGAAATTATAAGAACATGTTTTAAGACATAAATTTCCTAATCGTGCAATATAGAGCAGTATTCAGTCGTGTTGTGCTTGCTGCCGAAAGTTAAAGAATGGAGGAAGCTTCCCAGCTGCTTCCCTGGGGGCAGTGTGAGGAAGCAGAAAAACAGCACGTGACAGTTGTAGCCTCTTCTGCAGGTAGGGAGAGAGGTTTGTTGGGGCGCAATGGGGTGTTCATTTCAGGTTAGCTTAGGTAAGAAAGTAGCTAATTTTTATTTAAGAGCAACAAGAAACCTTGGTTTTAGGAATAATAATTAATGTAAGAAGCCAGAGCTTTCAGATATAAATTCTTGAATGGTAACCAAAAGGAGTTGACTCACTTTGAGTTTGACTCACTTTGCTGGAGTAAGCCAAGTCATGAATTACATTTCTGTTGTTTTCTCTAGTGGATCTAGCACATTGAAATTACCTTCATTTAATGAAAACAGTGTTCAAATACTGCATTCAAAAGAAATTACCTGCATTTAATGAAAACAGTGTTCAAATACTGTATTCCTGCATTGCTAAAGGAGCTCCTTTTCCACTCAAAGCTGAATTCAAATGCAGAATTTTTACTCATTTGTAGTATAATAAAATGCTAGAGTTAATAATGTGAGTACATATCTTTAAGTGCTACAACTACTTGAGCGCATAATCCACCTGGCTACAAAAGAAGGTGCCAAGCTGAGATTAAACTAGTTTAAATTGGCATACCTCAGCGTTTACTTGCCCATGTTAGTTAGCATTTTTGTGTGAAGTAAAGCAACAAAGCAAAGCCCCAAGAAATGGCAGCAAATGTCACCTTTAGAGTTGCAAAGTCAACTTGAGTCAAAAAATGGTCCACTGGAAAGAGTCCTCTGATTGCTTCGGTGTGGTCCACCTGATGGACGAGGAGCCAAATTCAGTGTGGGGAGTGCTTCCCTCTGGCCCGCTGCCCCTTCCCAGGCAGAGCACGGACCCCGTCCCTCTTCCAGGACTAAATGTAGCCCCCAGAGCTGAAGGCCGCCAGCCCGCTTGCAGTCCAGTCCAGAAACCCAGCGTTGCTGTGGCCACTGCTTCTGCGGTGGGGGGAACAGGAGGGGAGGCAGCAGCTGCTGCTTTTGACGGCTTTCACAAATGGTCGCTTGCTGTGCATGGTGGCTTCTGAATGCTTGCTTTATGGCCTGACAAAAAGCACTGTCAGACATGTAAGAGCTACACATACGGTCGAATCTTTACTTTAAATCTACAAAATGTTGTACTTTTAAAAAAATTATCTCAGATTGGGCAATGAAAGCTAGTCATTGTTTTGACTACTGGAATTTTTTTTGTCATCTCCAAACTGTGGACAGTAAGAACAGTGTGTGTTATGTTTTGCAAAAGTAAATTTTGACGTGTTGGGATGACATAGTGATAAAAGCCCATGATGTAAAGGGGTACACGTACCTGCCTTTCGCATGAGCAAAATATTACTGGCATTAAAAAAAACCGGGAGAATTGTTGGCTAGATTAGAGTTTTTCCATTAATTGCTGAGGTGGATTATGGATTCTAAGTTTTAAATTCATCTTTTATAACCTATTACATTTTTAGAGTGAATATGAACAGGATGCATGGGTTTGAAAGATGGAATACCTCATAACATTTGTTTTTTTGAGGTTTTGTATTTTTTTCTCCTCCTTAAAATAGCTGTAAGTCACAGAATTTCTGTACATGCATAGCTGTAGCAGCACACCACCACTTGCTTGTTTTGGTCTTACGGCAAGAAACTTTGTGCAGAATTTGTTGAATCTACTGTCATCTATTTTGAGCAGAATTTTAAAGGCATAAGATCAGTTGTAAGAGCTGAAATTTAATTACATTTTCTGTATCCCAAGGAAGAATATTTCAGCAATCATGATACTATACTCAGTTTGCAAAATCATTGCTCAGGGAGGGGAATTATTGTAAGGAACATGGTCTCTTTGTGGATGAGTTCATTCTGCCACAGTATAACTCAAACTGAAAGCACTTAACTGAGTCTTCCTGCCAGACCAAATCAACTTGGTTTAGTTAAATATTTTATATTTTTAGAAACAAGTCAGAATTATTTTTCAGTGAGTGAGAAAAAGTTTCTGTGAAGAACAAAAAGGACAGATTTTGGTATCATAGCACGTCTGATGAATTTTATATTTCTTTTTGTTGTTTCATATTCAAGGCTTATATGAATCCCATAGCTATGGCCAGAGCACGAGGTCCTGCCCAAAATTCGGGACCAACAATACAAGACTACTTGAACAGGCCAAGACCAACATGGTAAGTGGCAACACTTGTCTGCCCTTCTGAGTAAAAGATTTGTTCTCTCTTACTAAGATGACACAGTTACCTACCTCCCCCCCAGAATACACATTAATATATTTTGAAAGATTCCTTGTCTCTGGCCAAGGTGTTCTTTTCTAAATATGTATTCATTCTCCTCTTTTAAGAACAATAGTATTTCATTTTGAAATGCATATTTCTCATTTGTCTAAATACTTTGGCAACAGTTTTTCAGAAGAAGAAAATGTTGGTCATTTTACTTCTTTCACAAATCCTAATATCTAAAGCCTGCTGATATATTTAATTTTTAAACAAAGTAATCTCTAGAAAAACATTTTGCTGGTATATTCTTAGAACGTGGTTTACCCTACCCAACAAAATCATCACTTTGAGATATTATCAACAACTTTATGTTCAGTCCATTTTGCCTCCACTAATAAGACATTACAGAACAATTTACCTAATTGCAAAGTTAGCCTTAGATCTTTCAGAGGGATTTAGCTACTGTACTTAAGTTACTAGGATTAGGTTACCATATGCATAACATCTAAGATGCTTTCATTCTTCTTTCTGTTGGAAGTTCGGCCAAAGCTAGACTTCAAAAAACCTACAAAAAGTTAGACACTGAAGAAGGTATTTTTAATTGTGAAAATAAAGTAATTGTGATCTATCGTCCTTTTTATGTAGGGAAGAAGTGAAAGAGCAACTAGAAAAAAAAAAGAAAGGATCCAGGGCTTTGGCTGAGTTTGAAGAAAAGATGAACGAGGTTGGTAATGTTATTAGTATGTTAATACTCGATTCTTCTTATCTTACATGCTACTTTTCCTCCGTTATTGTTAGCAGTACTAAGTACCCATAATATTTCACTTCACTCAAGCTTTTAATGAGTAAATGGTTTGTTTCATTTGTATCGGTTGTTAAGGTTACCCCTTAACCAATGAAGAACTACTCTCAATTCAGAGAAACGCTATCTAAATTTTGAAAATTGCTGCTGAATAAAACTTAAACTTTTCATAAATGTAAATGCATATGTTTATATTAATAAATGAAACTCATGCATTTTCCAGTATGATAAACTAACATCTGTTGCGCTAATCTTCACTTGTTTAAGGTCACACAATCCAAATATATCAGAAAGAGGTGTATTGCTGGAAACAGATGTCTTTGGCAAGGAATGTACATGTAATATTGACACAGGAGAAGGCACAAAGAATGGCCTTCAATATACAGACAGGACTATAAAACGCTTCTTTCTCTTTCATCCTAAGCTGTTTATATTCCGTGCTGGTTCCCTACTATAAATGCAGCTGTTCTGATACTTGTGTTCAGTATCTACTGGAGATAAGGACAGTATAAGAAAGTTTCATGTATAACTCCTGTTGTATACATAGGAAGAAATTAGTGTATGATGAATTTAATTGTTCCTTCTTGGGTTCTGGTATCTTGGCATAAGCTTCAAGCAGTAGTCTTCATCATTGTGTGTGAGTTTCTGGTTGAAGTAGATTATGCTCCTCCTCTGTTACTGGAAGAGCATAGTACCACTGCACTTGCTATACCTTTTTGCCTAAGAAGTTATACCCGTACTTGGAGGGTCACGGGGCGCTATTCTGAGTGGATCAGTTGTTCTGCGCTCTGTGAGTTTTAGCTGGGTGAGTTTGGTTTAGTATTTTATAGTATTCCTTTCCTGTTTTAATATTTGCTTTATTGTGAAATAATTTAATCTGGCATGGACAGAAGATAACAGCCTTTCAGTATGGCAGAAGGGTAGGAAGGGATGCAGGAAATCATGAAATGGCCAGGCTCCTAAGAGCAAATCTCTGAACGGCTGAAACGATTATAAGTGTCTGAATGAGGTGCTCTCTTTCCTATGTTACTGACAGATATTGTGCTTTTTTGTTTAAAACATAACACTAGCACAGTCTTAAAATAATTCAAAGAGAACATCTGCCTAATAAAACACAAACTGTTGTTAGAGACCTCTCACGTAGCTCTAGGTAGCTGGTATATCAAAGTACACAACCCGCCGCAAATACTGCGTAGATGCTACCTTGGACCACGGAAACACGTTACGCGCAGTGCTGTATCCTGGCTAATCTGCCGTGTCTCTCAGAAGCATTTTTCAGCTAATTCACAGTATGCTGAGTTGGGGATCTGTGTATCATATTGCGCTGCACAGCTATAATCTTACTTAATTCCTGATATTTCTGTCCCTTCAGCACAATATGTGGATTATCATTGCTTTGCCAATACAATACCAATACAGCTTCATTGTGAGGAAAGGGGGGATCAGAGTAATAATAACACAGAAAGGAGCACATGATGTGTCTGACACGGGAAGCAGGAATAGCGCAGATTGAAGCTAGCAGCCTTTCAGTCTGATGGGAGCAGGTTGGATGTTTCAGAGCTCTTGAAGGGGGGATTTTAGGTAGAGCTAGAGACCTTGTGAGGGACTGAAAAGGAGGAATGAGAGGAGACTTTTATCCATGCAGTGTGCTTGGCTTAACAAAAATAAGAGCGTTTCTATGAAGATGTGTATAATAATTTAATATTCTAATCGTATTGACACCGACAAGGCCCAGAACAGACACTAGAGACACCCATACACTGAAGAAGGCCAGGGAGAATTTGTCTTGAAATTTTGCTTCAGGTGATTTTAAAACTAAGACAAAATAGCAATTTTTTCTGGTAGGGTGCCCTGGCTTTCTAAAGTCCTCTAGCAAGAACAATGTGATACAAAAGCAAAAATACCATAACTGATGACCTTCAAGATAAATGACAATCTCTTAAATCCAAATAACTTGAACATTAAGGTGTGAACTAACATGGTATTTCGATGAATATTAATCTTCTGTAAAATCAAATGCATTATAGCCTTGGTTAACATTATATGTTGTTTATGTCAGGTAGAGGACAGGATTTTGAAAAAGCTCTCTTAAAAAAAACTGTTTGGAAATGACGCTCATGTCACTGTTTCTGTTTGGTTTTGTTTTCAGAATTGGAGGAAAGAACTGGAAAAACACAGGGAGAAATTACTGGGTGGAAACGAGAGTTCCTCCAAAAAGAAAGAGGTAAGTTATTTTCAGTTTCATACAATCTGTGTTTGGAACTGGACTTACCATCGATGCTGCCAATACAGAATGTCTCAAATACATTTTAAAAGCCAGCATCAATGTACGTAAACCTAAATGCATGACGAAAGAACATGATGCCAAAGTAACATTTGTTTTATTCTATTTTTAAGAAAAAGAAAAAGGAAAAGAAGAAATCTAATAGGGTGAGCAAAATTTTCAGTTTTCTGAGCTTTTTTGCTTTGGGGTTGTTCCTATTTGTCATTTAAGTTCTCTTGGAAAGAGAGAGTATAGCTGTAATTTTGAATTTAGCTGCTAAATTAACTGATTTTTATTTGAGGGGGTGGCGTACATTCTGTACAAGGAGAATTTTACTTCTGCTTAAAGGGAGGAAAAGAGCATTAAATAGATATTATTAAATGAAAAATGTTAGACGTGACTTTTTACAGTTCTATTTAAGAAAATCTATGTAAGACCAGCTTCTTGGAAGTAAAATTCCATTGATAATACTTCGCAAATGAGTAATTTTAAAGGGAGTGTTTGGATGGACTTTTGACTGTTTGCCAGACAAAATGCTGCATCTCACAAGCTTCACTTTTTGTTGTGTTTGGTCAAGTTGTCTTCATCTTCCTCTTCTTCATCAAGCTCTGATTCTTCCAGCAGTTCATCTGATTCAGAAGATGAGGTAAGAACTAACTTATTAGAATCTAACATGTTTTGTTCATGAGGCTTATTTAACACAGATTTTGGTAATATATTTTAGAATATTGTTTGAGGGCTTGGTTTGTATAAAACTGTTTAATTTTTATGCATCTGGTACATATAATAAAGTTGTGAATTTTAGATATATATCTGTTCAAGAATTTCTTCATGAAAACTCTTAAGTTTTGGGTGGCTGGGTTGTAAATGGGATCCATTTGTGTTTCAGCATTGAATTCTATGCTTTTTCAACAGAATCCCCCATCTAATCATAAAAATGCAAACATACCATTTTTACTTTTTAGCAAAAATCTTTGTTACAGATAATCAGATTCTACAGCACACATCTAAATAATAAACAGAATCTAGAGAACCTGGATTTTTCACCAGTTTACATTTTTTCAATGCAGAAGAGTTATGAAGGTCCTCCGCTAAAAGAATCAATTGTAGTGTACTTTATTCCTCAAGAGAACATGATAACATGTAGGAATTTGGTGTTCCCTATTCTTTACATTTAATGTAAGTCTTTAATACTAGTGAGAATAAATTCAGGGTTGTGTTTTTCTTCTTTCCTACAATATTTGTGGATAGGATAAAAAGCAAGGGAAAAAAAGAAGGAAGAAGAAATACCGCTCCTCAAGGAAATCTTCAGCAAGCTCAACTTCTGAATCTGAGTCAGACAGCAAGGTAAGTATGCAGATGTGTTACCCTTGGCAACTTTTCTTGATCTGTGTTATAAAGACATAAACATTTCTGACGTTCACGTATCAATATTTTTTTTTATCTTCCAAATTTAAAGCCATGCATTCTTATTGTAGCTGAGCTGCACTTGTATCTTCCAGATGCAATCAGGAATCTACCTCCACTGGCCACAATGCCTGGCAGAAATAATTTGATCTTTAGAAAATGAACATGCTTCATTCCAGCAATTTTTAGCTATTTTTCTGAATTCAGCAGCTTTTGTGCTGCTCAAATGTTTAGTTTTGATACTACATTAATGCTTAAAAAAATAAAATGTTCTGTGAAATTCTTGTGAATATGCTGTTTAATTGAACACCATCTGTGAAAATACAGATATTGCAGGATATCAGTGGCCAGAATATTGCCTTTCTAAATATCTGTGGACTGAGTAGTTTCCTGTTGGAGAACTGAGCCCTTCCCAAATGCATATGAAATCGAGGGTGTCTTTTTTGTTTTCTGAAAGTAGAGCAATGTATATACCCAGGCTTACTGGATGAACAAAAAAGTGAAGAAGATATATGAGGCAATTTGTTCTGTTATGTTAGCATTTTTTTGTGTTACAGTGGGTAGTAACTACTTCTTGGCTAAATATTAATAATGCAGTGAGTTGTTAAGATTCTGTGTGTAGACTTCATCACAGGCTTTCACTGGAATACCTAATTCAGTGTGGTATAAATTGTGATGAATCACTGTTTGCCTACACCTATGAATTTGTACTAATGGGAGTTTGAAAATTTTTGCTATATAAAGGGACAGATACCCTTACTGCTGAAATTGGAAGGCAGAAAACTCCGTGGAACTATCTGCTTAACCCCTGGCTGATCAGCGGAGATGGGCGTAGATAGAGAATAAAGACTCCAGACTGTTATATGCTAGACATGTGTTATATGTGGTTACAGTAGTGATAGCTGGTATCCTTTCCAGAGGATCTCTACAGGTGCTGCAAGCACTCTGTTACCTGATTCCATACAGACCTTTTCACACTGCTGGTTCAGGAAATCAGCAGCTGCATCAAAATTATGGCTTTTTCATATTTTTCCTGTTAACTGCAAGGTAGAAAGAACAACTTTGAAGAATGACGTTTGATAGACAGAAAAAGACAATGGGTCAGACTGCTTTTGGGATTTCTACCTTTTTCCTGAAATAATTTTGTCATGGCTTATGGTTTTTTTTTCTATTTAGGACAGCACAAAAAAGAAAAGGTCAAAGGAAGATTATGAAAAAGAGAAGGTATTTTTACTCTTGAAATACTTACATCAGAACTGCATTTTACATACATAGTGGAGCTTGCTCTCTCTTTTTCTCTCCCCCCCCGCCCCTTTTTTTTTTTAATTTAAATATTGAATGCCTCAGTTTACACCTATGGAAACCTTCTGTCCAAAACTACACAGTCAGAAGGTATTCAGTAACCCCAATTTGAGGTAGACTTTTAGCTGGGTTCAGCTCCTGTTCTAGTAATTGTTGTTAGTGGAAACTGCTGGATCTGTTTTGTTATGAAGGTAAACGAAAAAAGTATCTAATCTGCTGTAGTAGATCAGCTGCATTCTAGTATTTGGGGTTTTATCTTGAGCAGTCACAGTGAGCTAAAAATACGTGTGATGACACTTCAGTGGCGTGCCTGGTAGGATACTGGCTTGTTGCTGTAAATTAAGGAACATCAAGCAGAGGATATATCTATGTAAATATAATCATAATTGTAGATATTGTACTTATGGTAGCTTTGAAAAATTCCAGAGAAAAATGTATTAGCTTAAGAAAAATTACCTTATTCTGTCTTTTCTCGGAGCATGAATACCCTCTCTCCTTCCCACCACCTCACCATTTTGTACACACATCCGAGGACTTCCTTCCTTCCTTCCATTATGTTTAATGCAAATAATCTTGTTGACTTGAACTGTAGTTATTTCTACACTTTGTGTAAACTAAAAATGCTTTCAGAGTCCACCCTAGTCTTTCTCTCCAGTTGCATACCTTATCACATCAGCCTCTACTACTACAGTCAACGCTATTGACTTTGATGTACAAATTCTCCATTGCATAAGGCAAATGTGTTGATTTTTTGTTTCCTTGCTCCTGCTTCCATTTCACAGAGTTTCCATTTCCCACCAACTCCTTTTAATTTTGAGGAGCTTCTCTTCAGAGACCAAGTGTCTACCATGCCCCCTTATTCTTGGTTAAGCTGTAATGCTCCTTTCACCCATCTTCTGAAAGCAGAGGGCATTTGGGGACTAGTGGTCTTCCCCTATCTGAAGATACCCTGTCTCTCAAATGGGCCACATCATGTGTACTTTTCATGAGTGCTTTTGGGAAAGGATTGAGGTACCTGTAATAGACTAAATAGCACAGCTGAGATATGTGATCCCACCTTGCAAAAAGATGATTAGCAAGAATTGTTTCAGTTTCTGGCCTTAGAAATCGAATGGAAGAAAATAGCTTCAATCTTACGACCACCTTGCCTGGTCCAGAGCAAAGGGCAGAGCAGAGGGGGGCAATCTCATGCAGCGCCAAAATTTCTAAAATAATTTAAAAAAAAAGACTGTCCTTTAAATATACTGAGATGGTATATGAAGTGTTGAGGTGCAGCTGGCAGGGACAGCTTGTCCTGGTTGGACACAAATACAGAGGAGCTTTGTCTTCTAATTTCATCAACAAAGCAAGAGTCTGAAGCTGCAGTGTTTGTATGCGCATATTGAGACATCTTCATTTACTCAGTAGTATTTAAAAGTGGTGAAACGTTTTATTTTCAAATGCTTACTCCTTCATGTGTTGTTATTTAAAATAAGAGACTATACTGTAGTATTATTCCTCTCACTTCTAGAAGGCTGCTGTATCTTGGTAACGGGAAAAGAATATGCAGAAAAAGATTATTTCCACTAAAAGCATTTTAACAGTTGGTAGGGTGATTTGTTGATGATGAGTAATTAGTTTAATGTCAACAATATTTAAAAATATTTCACAACAGAAATAATATTTCAATCTAAGTTTTAAGCAGAAGTTTTATAAAATTTGAAAGGCCTGACTTTACTCACAAATATATTACTTTGTATAGGAGGGCAAAAATCACCACAGGAAAAGGAAGAAAGCCGATCGTGGTGATGGACCTTTATCATCAGAATCCTTATCAGAATCGGATCAGACAGAGGAGGTCAGTCTGAAACCTCAATTTCAGATGTTACAATGCTTTTAGCTTACTGATTCCCATGAGTGAATGAACAAACTAGCTTAGATTTAACTGTTCTGCTCTGTACAGTTGAATTTGAGTGCAGCACATGCAAAGTTGTTTGCATTTTTCTCTTTAATAAAAACTTCTAGTAAGAATTGGTTAGTACAGCTCCTATCACCTACAAGTCATTTTGAATTAATTTTCTTAAAAATTTTCAACTTCTAATGGATATTTTAGAGCTCAGTGAAATGAGGCTAAGTGATCCGTGTGGTGTCCTTCACAAGATTTCTCTCTGATGTTTGTGAATAGATTGGCATATTTCAAGATAGCTAACATTTTTTTGCTTCCTTTTCCATTGAATTAAAAAATTTTGGACGTGATAATCTTACTCTCACCCTTGTGTATATCTGCTTTGAGGATTTGTATTCTTAGAATTACAGAATTTGGGAAGGTTCCAATGTGTTGCGTTTTTTCATTAAGCATTTTTGCCATATTACTGGCTTAGTAATTTTACCTTTATATCTCTCCTGTTTCTTCTTCTGCTGTGTATTAAAAGCAGAGTGTGTTCCCAAATCAGATGTTTATAGGCTAATGCGTATTCTAGAATACAACACAGATAACCAGTGTTTCTTCGTGGGTTATTGTGCAGTATGTTCTACCACTGTTGTGCTATCATTCATTTGCTTGCAACAGAAGCTCAAAATTTTATTTAAAACAGTATTTCCAAAGCTGCTCTCCCATTAAATTTGATTTAAATTTTTTTTTTAGGTGCAAGCAAAAAAGAAGAAAAGCAATGAGGAAAAAGAAAAAACAGCAAGTATCCTTCTTATTCATACTATAGTTTTAGGATATAAATACTATACAAATATACATATAAATATATAAATACTTGGTTAATTTCCAATTTCACATTTTTCAGTAATACAAATGTTTTATAGCAAAAGTCTACTGTCGCATGAATCTAAATGAACAATTTCTCTATTTACCTGTGAAGTCAGTTTTTCAGTTTCTGAATTAAAGGAAGAATTTGTCACTGTAGATATTTGTCACTATATAGATACATGTAATTTGAGATTTATATAAATTTAACACTTATTGTAGTACATATTTTGCTCGGTATCAACCTACTAGAACTTCTAAGATCTATATAATATTGGGTAGGGTAGCAGTTTGCCACACAGACATCAGTGCTGTTCCTTTGGTAGTGTTGTGTATAATTCTTCCCTGGTAAGCCCTCTCTACCAGACCAGGAAAAGGGCCTTAAGACATAATCGCTGCAACATCTATACTAAAATAATTTTTCCCCCAGCGACATAAAAAGCTGTCGGCAATCTGTTGCTTTTCTCAGTTTTGTTGATTTGTTTCTCTTGGTAAAAGTGAGAGGAAGGGTCAGCAGTGTTTTATATAGAACTCGGATTCATCACATGTACCTGAGGCTCCTCAATTAGGAGTATAGTGATTTTGAGATCCAAAATGGCCACTTGAGATATCTGTGCATCTTTCTGTCTCCCCTGTCAGCAACAGTGTTCCTGATGAGACATCTCGGTTGTCTAGATGAGTTAGGGCAACGGGAAGACTTACATTAGTCGCCTAAAAATACAAGCACAGGAGTATCAGTGATACTCAATACACGTTTTCTGTGGAACCTGTTTTTTCATTTGCCATTGTAATTCAAAGGGAAATTCAAAGTGTCATTGTATTCCAGTGATCGGGATAATAACTTCAAGACTGAATCCAGCAGGGTTAATTGAGTGTATTCATATTTACAGTTGAGATCATAATTGTTTTATTTTAAACGAGGTGCAAGTGCTGGAGATTCTAGCCAAGTGTAGTTGAACTATTTAATTTTGCACAGTAAATATAAGCACTTACTTTAAAATATGTAAACATCCTAGTTATTCCCATATATATAAGATGTCACTGCTTGTCAAAGCACTTCCTTATTACTTTCTCAGAAACATATAAACCACTGAAAATTGTTTAAAAGATTAGGAAATGTAATAGTGACAGTGATGAGAGGTGTGAAATAGCCAGACCATGATGGAGGTAAATTGAAGACCACTCGCAATAGTGCAAATTACTGGGTAAAACACGAATTTTCTTTTTGTGATTTCTCAATAGGCTTTTATAGAAATCTCTTTTGAAATGTCTTTGTAAAGATATCCTTTCCGTGCTCTCATTTTGCATTAGCAGAATTTAATAGGTGGCGATTTTATTATACAACAACTTCCATTTAATTTTATCATTTTTTTTAGGATAAAACAAAAAAGAGAAAGAAGCACAAGAAACATGGTAAGAAGAAGAAAAAGAAGATTGCTGGTTCAAATTCGGATTCGGAATAATACTTAAGCAAGACTATCAACAGAAGTGCAATGACTAAAGGAAACTTAAACTGTGAAATGACAGCAAACTTTACCAAACTGCATGAGTTTTCCTGTGTTTTAGAAATATTCCTAATCTTTCAGTAGCCAGCCAGATGCAGCTGTGCTGGGAAAGACCTTTATTGCCTGCTGCTTAATACATGAGGTACAACTTTTATAAAATTCCAGTAAGCAGTGTTAGATGTTTGAAACAATATGAGATGGTAGTCCAGCTGAGGTGTAAAATATTGGAAAATAAGAGTTAAACTTTTTAGATAGTAAAAGTAGTCTTTAAAGCATTAGTAATAGTCTTCATTTGTAAATCAGGACAAATAAAATCCCAAGTTCATCCTGCAAGTTAATATTATACATAAACTATTACAAGCTGGTGTCTGCTAATGGCATTTACAAAATGGGAAATTAATGATAACATTTTAAATGCTGCCTTTGTAGAAATGTTTATCATCTGCCCCATTACCGTCTTCATGCTTATGAGAAAGGGAATGCTACCATTTTGGCTAACTGAATAGGGTGCCTTTGCCTTTGATTCTTGCAAAGCTCTGCTATTTTTAATCCATGCAGCATCTCTGATTCTAGGGAAACCAGAACTATTGTCAGCAGACTTTTTCTGAATAAGCAGTTCTGGGCTTCTAAGCATGTGCTTCTGCATTAAGCAAGAGCAATGACATTCTGCAGTATAACTGACATTCAAAACCTGAAGATTTTACCTCTGCTTTTTTGAAATAGCGATAGATCTTTGCTAGTAAATATGCGTATTTCATTTAATGTAATTCTGGTTTAGTTGAACACTTCTTGCAAACACTGGTAGCTTTGTTTGCATTATCTTTAGAATTGTTTTGCATGATTTGTACCATTTTTAAATTAACAAAATGCAGGTAATCATTTGTTGTAACCAGTTCTATGAATTACGTTCCACATGCAGAGTTTCATGTATGTATTTAGTTATTCTTATAGTTAAGTTCATTGCTGTGTTTAAGTGCACACTTGCTGAAGATATTTAGCATGTAAAAAGCAGGGTTTTGATACCTTAACAGCTTCATATTGAAGCTGATTTTACTCTTAAGCAAGTTCAGTGGCAGACCTGTTACGTGATGTGTCTTGTTAGATAAAAAAAAACTACTGCCAGAATCTCATTAAAGATACTGTTTAAACAGTTTGTATTTATATTTTTGTACTTGAGGGCTACAGAATGTTGACCTAAATCATAAAGCTGTTTTACTTTAAATTAATTGCTTTAGAAATTGAAAAAAAGCTTTTATAAATTAAATGTGCACGCAAGAAAACACGAGCAACCATTCGATTTTAGTTTTTACATGAAATTCTTGTTATATTTTCCATTGAAGTACCCATTGCTGGGCCTCCTGTTAGCCTTTAAAAACTGCCCGTCCATCCTGAGGGTCAGCTATAGATTGTACTCTTGATGCACCCCTTTTTTGATTGCACAGGTGCTAACTTAGAACTTACCTCTATTGCATAGAGATGTTTCCAATATCGTATTGCCAAGAATTTCAAGACCTTTAAGACCTTGGTTATTAGTCTGCAAACGATAACTAAAAACTGGGGGAGAAAGATTATTTTGTATTGCCATTCTACAGAGGAACTGACTTCAAGTTAAGTTCTTAGGAAAACAGAACCGTTGAGTTGCAGCAATGTCCCTCTAAACCATAGTAAGAATATTTTGATCAAATATTTTATACTGTTGGGCTTGATGTGACTGATTCTAGGCACTGTTTTGTCAGTGAGGTTAAAATAAAGGCAAGATGTGGTGAACAGTAGGGGTTTCATTTGGGGTTTGTGTTTGGTTTTGTTCGGGTTGTTTTTTCCTTTTTAAGTTGTGGTGTTGCAGCTTTGGTACAAGAACTTGTAATGAACCATAGCATAAATGCTCCGTCCTTTGTGATACTTATTTGACTTCTACACAACTGCCTGCAACAGAAAGAAATAAAAATGGAAATGAGAGCCCCAGTCTTCCGAATACATAAGCTGGTATGTCATTTTAATTGTCTGAATATAGCTGTTTGTTCTGGTCAGCTGTGTGCTTCGGATGCTGCTGTCATGCGTTGGAAGTGGTGTAGCCGCTCACGGGGCTTACAGGCATTGCCCGCTCACAACAGAGCTGCTTTAATACCGACAGTGAAATGTTTCTGTTTCCAGTACATTAACAAATACGCTGCGACTCCTCTTGCATCCTCTTTTTTTCCTGAAGGAGGAGTAACGTCTGGTCACAAGCCTTCGGCTCCGGCGAGGTGGTGACGTGGGTTTCAGGGGGCAGCGGCGGCCTACGGGCGTGTTCCACGTTTGCGCAGTGGGACAAGGTAGAAAATGGGCAATGTGGGAATGAAGGTATTTTAATAGACTTCTGACAGCAGATGAACAGACAGTATTGTATGTAGCAGTTAATTTTTAGCTCTTCTTTCCAGAAACATTTTTAGACGTTTCACACTCAGTTATTTTCTTTTATACAACTGCTATTTTTTAATGTATGATAAAAACGTCTCTTCGTTACGCCTTTATATATATTTATGTATGACCCGCCAGTGGCAGCAAGGGGCACCGCTTGGCCGCCGCCGCCGCCCCCCCCCCGGTGCC